TTGTTATTATTATTATTGTTGTTATTATTATTATTATTATTATTATTATTATTATTATTATTATTATTATTATTATTATTATTATTATTATTATTGTTATTGTTATTGTTATTATTATTATTATTATTATTATTATTATTATTATTATTATTATTATTATTATTAATTTATTATTATAATTATATTATTATTATTATTATTATTATTATTATTATTATTATTATTATTATTTATTATTATTATTATTATATTTTATTATTATTGTTAATATTATTATTATCATCATTATTTTTTTTTATTATTTTTATTATTGTTATTGTTATTATTATTGTTATTTTTATTATAATTAGTAGTAGTAGTATTAGTATTGTTATTATTATCATTATTATTATTATTTTTTTTATTATTGTTTTTTATTATTATTGCCATTATTATTATTATTATTATTATTATTATATTATTATTAGTAGTAGTAGTAGTAGTAGTAGTAGTAGTAGTAGTAGTAGTATTGTTATGATTATTATTATTGATATTATTATTATTATTATTATTATTATTATTATTATTATTATTATTATTATTATTATTATTATTATTTATTATTATTATTATTATTATTATTTTATTATTATTATTAATATTATTTATTATTTGATGATGATTATTATTATTATTGTTGTTGTTACTACTATTATTGTAATTATTATTGTTGTTGTTATTATTGTTATTGTTATTATTATTGTTATTGTTTTATTGTTATTTAATTATTAGTATTATTCTTATTACTATTATCATCATCATCATCATTATCATTATCATTATCATTATCATCATGATATTGAAGATAATATTAATGATAAGAACATTAATAGCAGTAATGATAGTAATAAGAGTAAAATCTATTTTGTCCGAGAATTCAAGGAATGTGAAATAAGATAGGCATAGTAGCTAACTTCTTGGAGACTAAGCAGTTCTGGAGCCTTTTGTATATAGACAAAGTTGTTAAACTAAAGTTACAGTGGATGAGACATGTATACATTCTCTTGTCTGCATCAGTGGGCTATATTATGGTACATTGTTTATGGTATATAATTGATATGATAGGCCAACTCTATGTTTAAGAAATAGTTTCATTTCTAAATATGCAGTGTGCTATTTGGTTGGCCTTACATACGTTTTCTGGTTTTCCATTTTAATGTTATTGTACACCATCATAAGCCTGTTCCTTTGTGTAGTGACTTGCATAAAAAGAGCCTGAATAGAAACTTTAAAGAGTATTATTATGTATTAAATTTTATCCTATGCCCAGGGGTGACTTTTAGATATGGTAAAAGAAGTTAAATACTTTTAAAGGGCTCAGTACAAAGAAAATGGAAAATGAGTTAAAAATCTTGAGCTTTGAGCAGATGGCAGGTTTCTAGTTCTTTGTGGCAACTTGCTCACATGACCATATCATGTGCTTGTTTTATCCTTGCATTATAGTAGTATGTGCACGTTTTGTAAACTGGATGGAAGCAGATATTCTCTTTAAAAATTGGAGAAATAGACGTGAAATGTCTGGTGGGGAGAAACGAGATATTGTGTGAAAGAAAAGCATTTAATTCCTTGTAAACTGCAGCGTCAAAAATAGTTAAATTTAGCCATGTGCACTTAGTTCGTACTTTGGTTTCTATGGAAAACAAACAATGTCTGTTATTTTTGTTTTATTGAAAACATTGGCAGGATGTTAATAAATCTGTAAAAAAAAGTTGGTGTTATAAAATATGAAAGAAAATGTCTGTGTATACATATATACTTATGCAAATATAATTACATGTACATGTATAAGTATGTATATATACCTATATGTATTTATGGTTATATAACATTTTGAGGTTAATTGACTAGAGTCTTAACTTTTATTGGTATATTTCAGGTGCTACACCTAAAGGAGATGCCTCATTTTGCTAGCAGGTCGCATTGAATGCTGTTGAAGCAACCAATACGTAACAGACCCTGAATTAGATATGAAGGTTAGTATTAGTATAGAGCCCATTTTGATGATTTTACTTATACCTCTTGGCCATGTAGAGTACTGACATATAATGATGCTATATTAAAAAAAAAAAATGGTTTTCCAAATCTGTAACAAGGAAACTATTATAGCTTCATATTATAATAGGCAGTTAAAAAAAAAGCTTGATTGTTTTATTTATTATTGATATACAGATGATTTTGCAGATAACTAAACCATGTTAAGTTTGATGTTCATAAAATTTTACTAAGTTATTGATTATTTATTGCTATTGATGTTCAAAACCAGGAAATATGGACCTTACATTATGTTACCTTGGATTGATGGCAAAGTTTAGAGCTTTTTGTGAATACAGGATGGAAATTTTTTGTTTAATGATTTCAGCTTTAATATCAAATCTAATCAGGACCTTACTTGTTTTATTCAGACATTGCTGTATTTTGTGAAAGCTAACTTTGAAATTATTTCATGGGATATATTTTAGAAAGTTATTGATTAATTTATTTTTTACAGACTGGTGTAAGGGCAGGGAACCACCATGGAGAAATTTGCCGTTGACCTTGATAAAGTGTTGGATGACTTCGAGTTAGATGAAGGTCAGTGAATCCTGCTTTGTCTTGTTGTGGCACTGAATTCTAGGCCTAAAGGTAAAACCATTATTATCTGGCAAACAAGCTTTACCTCTAATTCCTTGAAATACTGAAAAATGCCAAAAACACAGGCATTTATGATGCACAATGTCTGTTACAGATGATGAGATGTCAAAATATGTTATTGCCTGCCATTTTGGTTTCACATTTAGAATCAAGTGCTGTGTTTATAGGATAAGAATGATTGGTCATACATAGTGGAATTGTTAAGTGTTTTTATCTACAAATAGATGTTTGACCATTTTTTCTGTGTTTGGTTGCTGTAGAGTTGGGTTTAATCATTCCTTAGGGAACAGTGATCATTGTGTAAAAATTCATATTTAATTGATTTTTTCATTGTAATTCACATTTGCATTTACTACCGTCATTGCTCAGATATATGTGTATTGTACATTAAAGTCTGTTTCAAAGACTGGTACAAAATTTACACAATAAATAATTAGGGCCAAGACTCATCCAAATCTATGAGTATTGTAACCAAATTCATACTTAACCGATGGCATCAGGGTGCCTAGCTGCCTGCTTGTGGCCCAAAATCCATTCATTAGGCTTACTTCAGTGTTTGGCTTGTGGATCCAGCCCATGTGAACATACTTGCAGTGTCGAGACTCCTTGATTCCCCTGTACGATGCTATAATCTCTTTTTCTGATTAAGCATTTTTTGTTATTCTGCCATTTACCAAAGTCTGTATTTGTCATTTGACATCTTGTCGCAAAATGGTAATTGACTGTTTTTCTTGCACAGGCTCCATATCATCTCTCTAGGTTGCCTATAATTCAGTGGAATAACAAAAACAATAGCTAGCAATTTGTTATTTTTGTCTTTTATATTTTCATAATATTTAGTTTACTCAAATGCCTTATGCTGCCGGTCATGGTGGGGAGGACTAGGATCCTGAGCATAGAAAAAGTGTCCTCACTGGAGCCTGAAATTCTGGTCATGTCTCATGAATTGTACATTCCACACTTGTCTATCGATGAAAATAATACAAGAGTCCCTTCCTAAATGCCCACTCATTTGTGCACTTGTGGCTAGTCATTCTTGGCAACTCAAGTCAAATTTTTCATGACGGTATATTCCCATCACCCCGGCCCATGGTGGTCATCTCACGTAGATCCAAGGGGTTATGTTATGGTTTATCGTTTTATTATTCAATGGCAAATGTGAAGCCAACCCAACAGTGCTTTCAAGAATTGCTGTCTTTGGCCAAAGTTTATATATTTTTGTATTGGTGTAAATGGATTCAGCTATAGTCAGTTTGAACTTCCTTTTTTTTTTCATCAGTTTTATTTATTGATGTATAAGGATTTAATTTGGTTCTTTGGACATGTATGTGTATTTTTGTTGTTATTATTATGATTATTATTGTTATTATTGATATTATTATCACTGTGATGATGATGATGATGATGATTGTTATCATTATCATTATTATTATTATTATTATATTATTATTATTATTATTATTATTATTATTTATTATATATCATCGATCATCATCATCATCATCATCATCATTGTCATTATTGTCATTATTATCATTATCATTATTATAATCATTATCATTATCTTTATCTGTATTGGTATCTGTATCATTATCATTCATTATTATTATTATGTTATTATTATTATTATTATTATTATTATTATTATTATATATATATATCATATTATCATATATCATATCATCATCATATCATCATCATCATCATTCATCATCATCATCATTCATTTCATTATTACCATTCATTACCATTACCATTACCATTACCATTACCATTACCATTACCATTACCATTACCATTACCATTACCATTTACCATTTACCATTACCATTTACCATTATTACCATTACCATTACCATTACCATTACCATTACCATTACCATTACCATTACCATTTTACCATTACCATTTACCATTACCATTACCACCACCATTACCATTACCACCATTACCATTTTACCCACCATTACCATTTACCATTACCATTACCATTACCACCATTTACCATTACCACCACCACCATTACCATTACCACCACCATTACCATTACCATTACCACCACCATTACCATTACCATTACCATTTACCGACCACCACCACCATTACCATTACCACCCATTACCACCACCACCACCACCACCACCATCATTGAATGAATCTGTAACCTACTGATCATCAGCTTGCATCACTGCTATAGGAAGTCATATGTTGACATTGTATTTCATTTTATTATTCATATCTTTTTATTTGTAGGTATTCAAGAAATGGCCATTAGTATTTAAATTAACCATGTAGTTAGTCAGTAGTTTTATGGTTTCATTGAATAAACA